CTCCTCCATGGTTATGGACTGCGGATTGAAATAGTAAATTATTCCTAGCAGACTGAATGGGCAATAAGACTGCCATCCACTTCTCCCCATAAAACAAAGCAATAGATAAATAAAGGAGAGCCAACTCACTTAACCTGTGTGGCTCTGTGCAATGCTAATTATTAACCTGGGGCGCAAGAGGGGTTCACCCAGCGTGTAGTTAAATCATTTTTAATCGAGGTAAACACTAGCCATGTGGACGAGTACCACTCAAGAAAGTTTTTAATCAGCAGCGTTTAGGAATCACCCAGTCTAATTGCCATAACTTATTAATAATAATAAATACTTGGGTCTTTTTATGGCCCCTGTCTCTGGAGGACCCAGTGCATTAAAGATCTCTGGAGTGTGAATCTCTCAGCAGCTGTGGGGGAGGAGCAGGTATCCTTGATACTCATTCCTGACAGAAGAAATTGGACATCAGGGCCAAGAAAGGCAAAGCTGGGCTCCTTCTTTCTCCTTTTCTTCTTTCCTGCCTCTGAATTACCAACTTACACATGCTCTTTCATCTCTCCCTAGGACCAGCGGGCTCCAGGGATGGGGGTGGGGGCTGGGTAACAGGCTTTCTTTGTTCACGTGAGTGATGGGGGTTGAGGCTTCCTCCCTTGGGAAGTGAGTGTGCACAGAGCTTTGTCTGAAGGAGTTCATTTCCTCTGAACAAGTGTCCCTGGCATCCTTCGGTCTCAACCTGATTGTGGCTGGAGTGACCACTGGTGACCTCAGCTCTGTACTTGTATGATTCCAGTTTCTTTAAGGGTGGAAGAGATGGCACTATCTTGTTCTCAGAGTGAATCTGTGCAGCAGCATTTGGGGTAATGTTTGTGTAAATGACCTGGTTTAACCTTCCCAACACCATGGTGTGGGTATAAGAATATGCCTGCCTAGGTTGTCAACAAGAAAATGGCAGCTCCAGGAGTGCAGCCAATAGACTCGTAAATAATTCTTTGTGTTTAGACTGAAAGGGGACTGACTACCACAGTCAAATTCAAGGCCTTTTAATTTTTATAAGTGTCTACTTCTGATGGTTTGGGGCTTATGGTCGTAGACATGAACTCCAGAATAGAGGATATTACAAGGATATTTCTATGGCTAATAGCCTCCAATGTCCACAGTTTTTCAGGAAGTTAAAATGTAGCCATACTGCACAGGAACTATTTCTTTCTCACTTATTCTCATTCTTCTGTCCATGGCCTGAAGCCTGAGCTATGTAGCTTTTTCAGTCTAGAAAAGTGAAATTTTAAAGAAGGTGCAGAAGCCATTATTATACAGAGCAAAAAGTTAAATGATGCTATGAATGGAATGATTCATACCACAGACCACAGAAGACATAAATTTAGAGTGTAAATTACAAGGCAACTCATGTGCAAAATAGTTGCAATATTTAAACTAGCATTTATTAAAATTTACATTTGAATAATAAGGTGCAAAATGTAAAAAGGCTGGAAAAGTATTTTGAAAAAATCCAGAATAGCTTATATGAAAATCAAGAGAGTTTTGGGGGAATAGAAGGTATGAATAGTAGTCTATTGAGATTTGCCTATTAAAGTGTGAAATTCACAATGTAACTGAAAGGAATAAGTTCACTAAATCTTTGTCTGAATTTCCTTCCTCCCTACCAATTGATACTTTCCAGTGATTCAAATAAGTAGGGAATTTCTCAGGAAGTGCTCCTTGTCCAAAGGTGTGGTGAAGAAGTTGAGGATTCTGGATGGATGTCGAGACTGGATCCATATTTGAAAGGCTAATCTTATTTCACTGATGTTTTCCAGGTTGGAAATTTTTGTCTGTATTCATTAGAGAGGAATGATAAATCTCTAATTTGTACTTTGCTAATAATAGCGATGGGCTTTTGTGCTTCATTCAGGTTAAATGTGTCTCATGTAGGCTTGGCTCAGCCTTCAACTCCATATGTGACCTTGGGAAAAATTTCTAACTTATTTGGGACTTAGTTTCCTTCTCTGTCTGAGGAGGGGGTTGGACCAGATGACAGCTGAGGTAGACCAGCACGCTTTGCTTCCAAGCCATCCAAGCAGTCAGAACCCAATAAGGGTATTAAGACACATTGCTTTTGTCCTCGGGAGCTCATGGTCTACATAAATAACTAATTATAATATGAGCTATAATTGCAACATGCACAAATTACTCTCGGAGCACAGAGGCGGAAACAGTGAATTCTCTCTCTGTGGGGACAGACTTCATAGTGACTGTGACATTTGAGTGCAGAGAAGGAAGGCCCCTCCAGGCGTGTGCAGGCTGGTCAGAGAGGGTGATGGTTCAGACTGTGAGGGCAACGAAGCACGCACAGGTGAAAATGGTATTTTGGGGAGCTGCACAAGGTCCTCTTGGTCTGTGGGCAGTGACATCGTACTGCTGGGTCAAAACTGGTACCAATGAGGGATCATTGATGCAAGAGAGTACTGTATAGCATGTACAGTTGGTTCTTTGTATCCTACAGTGATCGGTTCCCAGGTCCCCTGAGGACACCAAGCTCTGCAGATGCCCTGTCCCTTACATCAAATGGCATGATATTTGTTATTACCTACACACTTCTTCCTGTATACTTTAAATCATCTCTAGATGACTTATAGTACCAAATGCAAATGCTGTGCAAATAGTTGTTATACTGTATTGCTGAGGGAATAATGACAAGCAAAAAAGTCTTGCACATGGTCAGGACAGACGCAATATTTTTTTATTTTCAGTCCGTAGTTAGGAGAAACCGCAGCTATAGAACTCACAGATACAGAGGGCTGTTTGCATAAATTAAGCAGAGTCCAGGTTGTTCTGTAGTGGCACTGATGTGGCCTATTTACATCCTAATTGGCTTTCTTGAGTGTGGGAGAAAGGGTGGTGTTTTAGCCAAGGCCCTGAGAATGGTGAGCTTGGAGTCTTTCACCTGTGTCTCAGCTGCTGCCCTGAATGTGTCCTTGGGAGCATTTTATTGCTGGGAGTGACACTTCTCTTGAGGATTGTGTGTGTCCACGTGCAGTGACACCTGCAGCCGTAGGTCCTTTGCTTGCAGTCTGTCAACCCACCGATTGTGAATTTCATCTGCACTCTTCCTGGGCCCTTGGCTCTTCGTGATCTTGCAGGAACTGATGTTTCGGGTGACGACTGAAAATTAGATATTGATAATGAAGTTCATAGTTTATAAATGAAATAATTTTAGTTTTAAGTCCAGGTTATAAATGTAAGATATCTTCATTATTGAGGATCAGAATAATGCAGAAATCTTATATATGTTAAATACCCCAAATTCCACATCCTGACGATAAACAATATTTCTGTGACCATTGCCACAAATCTCTTCTTATGTAGCCTTACCCATACACATAAGCACGTAAGTTCAGGAGCAGAATTACACGTTCCATTTTACTGTCTTGATTTTTTCATTCAAAAACAATTACAGTCTTCAGCCATCTAAATGGCTGTATAATAATCATTGTGTGGAATACATTAGTTTCAGTTTGATTCTGTATTTATGATCAGTCTAAGCAAGATCCAGTGTCTTGCCATTACAAACAAAACCATGGTTCATATCCTTATAGGTTTCTTTTATAACTATATTCCATTGGATTAAAGTCCTAGAAGTAGCATGGATGGGTCCAATAATGCATATTCTACATATATATATATATATATATATATATATATATATATATATATATATATATATGTATATGTATATTATATCATTGAACTTGCCTTTTAGACCTTTTTACCAGTTTAAAGCCCCACCGGCAGAGCAGAAAATGTCTCTTGCCTCAGGAGTGCTGTGTATGTCTCTCGTGGTGTCCTCTCTGTCTTGAAGCTACTAAATGAGAAAGTGTGAGCAGATGGGAACACTTTTGGGGTGAGTGAGAGGTAGTGTTAATGGGACAGGCTCACGTGTCCAAAAGTACTTGGCAAGTAAACGTATGGTTGTCAAAGGATATGTACGGAGAACAACCATCACAATTCTTAATTTGCAGACATTGAAATAATCTGAGTAACTACTACATTCAAATGGAGAGACAAATTACGGTATAATCATATAGTGGAATTCTTTGTACCAGTGAGAATGAATGATCTACTGTGTGCTACAGTGTGAATGGCTTCCATAATTGCTGTCAAAGATGGTAGAAATAGAAAAATATTCAGGCTTTATCAATCCATTTACACAAAATTCAAAGACAACCAAAGTGTATTTATGGCATTAATAGTAATGTTAGTGACTTTGGGTTTTTCCTGAGATGTAGTTTATTAGTGCCAGAAAGCATATAGCAGTTTCTCAAGTCTTTCTTTAAAACATACATTAATATTTTGTATCTTTCTAACAGACTTTGACTTGGGATTTACTATGAAGTTATAATGTTTATATGATTTAAATATAATAAGCCCTTTTATGTTTATTCTTTTATGTGCCACTGTTGTTATTTGTAAACTAATTAGGAAGCTTAGAAGTGGGAAACAAGATGATTTGGGAGTCACAGACTGGGGTTCAGTTCTGAGCTTCACTTGTTCCTTTATGGCCTTGGATGAGTTACTTAACTCTCTGGAGCCTCAGTTTCCCCATCTGAAAAGGAGAATGGTAATAGAGTACACTATATAAAGTTATGGTGAAAATAATAATACTAATGTTAATAATAAGCACCACATTTTCTGTTTACTATGCATAGACACTGTTCTAAACCCTTAAATATGTGACGTTTCATATTTAATGTTTCCAACGTGCTTACCTAGTTTGTGGTTTAAGGAACTGTAGGTCGCAGAGTCGGTCAATAGTGAGCTAGGATTTAGACCCAGGCAGTCTTCCACAACGTGGACTCTTAACCACTGCCTCCTGCTCTAAAGAGGTGCTGTAAGAAGCGTGCTTAGCAGTCAGCATATATTAGCTAATACCATGTTGTCCTTTTCAACATGATTAACAGTATTTTCCCCTCTCTCTACCCTTTCTTTTTCCCTCTTTTTCTCCCTCCTGGCAGATGTTTTTCAGCAAGGTAAGTTTTACTGCCTCATTTTTCTCTTTTTTTGTCTACTTGCTCTTCCACTGCTGTGTTCTTTACGTTGTTGGGCTTTGCCTCTTTTGTGGACATGTCACATAGTCTTTGGGGGACTCTATGAGGGCAGTGACCTACAGTGCCAGCAGCCTCCCTGGGCCTCTGCTGCCTGGCCTCTGCTTCTTCCTCTGAATCAGGCTTGAGGTGGAGAGAGCTGGGCAGTCAGGGCAGGGACGAATGGGGAAGGGCCTGTGGCCGGGTCCCAGGAGCGGGGAGGACGCTGTGGAATTGGTGAGACTGATGGGGAGCACGTACCTCTGGGGGCAGCTCAAGTATGAGGTCCTTGTCCCTCAGCGCTCCTGTGTTGGGACCAGTGGGTGTTTTCACTGATACCAAGGTGTGGCAAGACCATGGCTGGCCGACCACTTTGTACCCTTCAACCCAGCCGAGCTTCACAACCTGAGTGAGTTCGCCTTTGAATCAGAATGAAATGAGGTTGTGCAGTGTCATCTGTCTTGCTAGCCAAGGTCCTGTGTTCTAGGAGCTGGAAACCACAATTTAACTCCACACCATGACTTTGGGCCTGTGTTTTAGCCCCCATTTAGGATGCAGAGCCACTGTGCTCTGGGAGGCAGAAAGAGATTCATGAGTCATTGGCCTCATGGAGCCTTCTAGACACATGTTATGGATGGAGGCACTGCATTTTCATCTCAACTTGAAACCACTGGGTAAAAGTGGCAGGGCTTCAGTGATTATATTCAAGCCAGGGAATGTATTTGTAGCAAACATCTGCTGTGTCTTTCTGGAAACCAAGGCTGGCTTAGAATAAAAGTGGCTAATTTAAAAATACATCCAGGCTTTCTATAAATAGCTTCCAAATACTCTTACAGGCATGGTGTTTTCCCAACTGTTACTTCACCCCAAACATGTAGTACATGTTATGGAGAATATCTGTTGTCTGTTAGAAGCACAGTTGTGGGTAACAGTGAGAGTTCTGTTGTGTTGTCTTTTAAAGAGTCTGGAGTCATAGACCTACTTTTATAAATAATTCATAAATCCCAACAAGCTATAAGTAATAAGTTCCATTTGGCTAGAGACTAAGAGATGAGCAAAATTGAAAAGGTGCCATGACTGTTCATATAATGAAAGTGCTGCTGTCAGGGCCTGTTGCCGCAGTGAATTTTCTTCCTTGACAAATTGGGGGTTCAGTGAGCCGCTCTGGGAGGAATATTTTTTTTTCTCTATGAACAGGAATAAAAACACCACCTAATGCTGAATTACATTTCTCTCCTTGAAACACAAAATGTTTGAGTTGGGAAAGTCTTTCTAGAATTTGTGTTCTTAGGCTCCTGGCAAAGAGGGACTAGAAAAGCCTGGCATCAAATTTGACTTTTCTATGTATGTACAGTGGCGAGTGTCCCTGGGTGTTGTAACTGGTATAAAAATGGCTTATCAGACTGCCTGTGTCAAATTTGCCTCCTTTTTTCATCAGTCATCGACAGGATTTGCCTGTCAGTAGCAGTGATATGCAGAGCAGAAGTTATAATCATCTACAAATCACTGGCTATTGAGACTTAATGGCATCTGCCAGAGATGGAAGCCAGGAGCTCCCCATTACTCTGTGTGACGGTGGGCGGCAGCTCCCGGATAAGGTATTACTAGGTTTTCAAATGGAGAGAACTGAACTTGCCGTTGTGAATTATTTACATGGCTCTGGCCTTGTAGGACCATTTCATATGGAGACACATTCTCAGAAATGATAGTGCAGAGCTCAGTGGCTGGCCGTCCCTGCTTATCTTTGTTTTGCCCGTTCTGCCTGTGAAAATAATGCTCCATACCATGTGCAACCAGTGATAGTCACAGGAGACAAAGAAAAAACATTCTGTGTCTAGTGGACAGAATGTGAAAAAGTGATCTCCGTAGCATCTTCTGTGATAGAAACTCTGTGCTAGAATTGTGCCATTAACCTGAAACATGGGGGTGATGAATTGTGCCAGAAGTAACCAAGCAGAAAAGTATGTGGCTTCTAATGAACAGATGCCTCTTGGTCATCTTCTGAAGCCTGAGTTACAGACAGTGGCAGCTCGGAGCAGCCCTGCCCTCTGCAGTGGGCCTGGGCGTCCAGAACCTGCTTGCTTTGGTTTGGCTGCAGAGTTGGGCAGGTGGGGAAGATGCTGCTTTGCAAATGGGTACTTCTGGCAGCGAGGGGAGGAGGCCCGTCTGCCGAGAGGAGTGCCTGCGTGTTTGTGCTGCTGTGCACTGTGGCAGGCAGAAGAGGGAAGCAGGCTTGCAGTTGACAATATCAGACACTCTCAGAGGAAACACAAGTTATTTCCTCCAGATTGTATTATCTTTTATTTCGCTACAGATCAATCTTGTTACAGTAGGTGACAGCATAGCAGCCACTGCTGGGTTTTTCTCTATTGTATCCCTGGTGCATGAATGGGGAAATGTGTTTCTACCCTGCTCCTGTGATACTTTATTGCTTGTTTTGGTTCTTTCATCTATAAATGCCACTTGCTGTGGTATTGAGACCACAGGGTCCAAGAACAGTCAAGGACCAGTGAGTCTGCAACTGGGCCTTTCTAAATAGAAGTCTAGGGTCACACTGCCATGTTTTCAAGGAGCCTTCACTGACCTACGTCCTCTGTTGTCCATAGAGCTCATGAGCCATTGAGTGGCTCTCAGAAATTCCAGAGTGCCATACAGTTGCTCTTCACAGCATCAAACACAACTTGAAATATGTGCGCATGTCTAAAATCTCGGGTTTTAGAGCACTTTTACGCCAGTCACGAGAGTTCATGTGCTGTCTCTCTCCTCCTTTCCGTGCCTCATTTGAAGTTACTGAAGCACTTTTTGAATGCTCATCTGTAGACTCAACCTTGTTTCTGAAATCGAACAGAAAGCAACCGAGTGGATTAGAAATTGGAGCCGCATCACTCAGTGGGGCATTTTAAAACCTAAGAGGGTGTAGTATAAAGATTTTACCATTGAATTAATTCTCTGTGCACGTTCAGCTCAAGTCCCTGAAAGACTGACGAAAGAGGCACAGCCTTTTCCTCTCCCCATTTCTAACCTGGAGCTGGCATCTCGCTCCTGCAATTTTTTTCTGTCTCATGTGGTTTGTAATATTTCTCCAACAAAGTGCACAGTGTGTTTATTCTGAAGCTGGTAAGGCGCCTTCTGGACCTTGACGACAGGGAAATGAACAAGACAAAGACAGCAAAGGCTTCTTTCTCAGGGAACTCACAGTGGAGTGTGGGGGCATTTGGTAGCCAAGCATGCGAAGAAATTAAACAGGTAAATTCAGAAAGGATAATAAGGAACTTTCTTAGGGTGATATGCTAGTGGCAAGGAAGGCTACCTTAAGTAGTATGGCCAGGGACTGACATAATGGTCCAGTTATCGGACAGTCTAGGAGATGGCAGGGGAGTGCACAAGCACGAAACAGATGCATCTGAGAGAATGGCAGAAGAGAGTTGTAAGGGGTGACCAAAAAATGGGGACGATCTGAGGTCTGGGGATTGCAGAGGGGAGGTGGTCTTTTTTACAGAAGAACGGTGCAGTCTTATTGTGGTGACTATGAAAATGCACAGGAATGGTGTGTGACACGTGCAAACCAGGACCTAGGCTAAGTGCTCATTGGATTGAAGTCATATCTGCTGCCCTTCAGGAATCTCTGCTCTCCTGGGCCATGGAACTGGTAGATGCTCCAGCCAACTTGCCTCTGATGATGCCAGCTTTCTGCTTATTTTATCCATGGAAATTCTCAAGCTTATGACTCACACCTTCACTTACGGCTGGCAAGTTATACTCTTCAGGGACATCACTGAAATATTTCTCTGTATGTCTTCGGATATTAAAAGCCACTACTCTCCAGGGCATATGTACCTACATGTATTGTTTGTATTACATTTTACATACATATACTTTTCTCCAGTACTTACATAAACATGACACTTGGACCACTATATCTCGGGGCTCAGTGTATGCATGGATTCTACCAGCTGCTGATGGAAAAATTTTAATCAGGCCTACATTGGTGGCATCTATACTGAAAACATGTAGACTTATTTTTTCTTGTCATTATCCTCTAAATAATAGTGCAACAACTGTTTACACACCACTCACATTGTTGGAGGTACTATGAGTCATCTAGAGATGATTCAAAATGTACGGGAATTGTATATGGGTTCAGCTTATATGCAAATGTTATAATACCGTTTTATATAAGGGCTTGAGTGTTCTTGAATTTTGGCTTCTGTGAGCCTGGAAACAAACTCCCATGCATACCAGTCAAAGATGGCTGTATATGAGAAAAATATCTCATGTCTGTATTTTCACCTTTTGCTGAACAAAACAGAGAGGAAGGATAGATAATCAATTCCACTGTCTCCAGGGACCCTGGAATAGGTGCTTGCTGTGAGCAGGGCTGTGGCCCTGGAGACCTCATGTCCAGTTGTCTAGGGTGTTTACTCCCCAGCTCCACAGATAAGGACACATAGTATCCACGATGAACAGACACCCAAGATTTTTAAGAGAAGCCCAAGATCTGGGAGTATATGAAAAACTCACTGATTTTTAAATTCTCAATTAAAGCTTACACAAACAAACTAAACCTAACTGGTCAGAAGGTTCTCTTTTCTCCCATCAGTAGCCAGTCCTCAGAGGATCTGTTTTGCTCACACTGGGGCTGATGTCTTTTGTGTCTTAGACAAGTTGCTTTGCCCTCTGGCCTCAGCTTTTTCATCTATAAAATGAGAGAGTTGAAAAAAGCCTTGATGCCGGTTGGCTTCCTGCTGTTTACTCTATTTGGAGAACTTTAAAGTGGACTTGGGCTAATAGAGTAGGGCTGTGTCCTTTGAATAGGTTTTGGCTGTTCTCTGGAGGACCAAGGGGAAGCAGAAGCTTCCCGAGAGGCTGAGAACTAAGGTTAAAGCATGTGGTTTAGAAGTGTAGCTGACTCACATGGCCATTTGGACCGTCATCTCTTTCCTACC